CTGAGCTCCACGTGGAGACGCCATGATGAACACGCGTACACTGAGTACTGAGCTCCACGCGGAGATGCCACTATGAACACGTGTACACTGAGATCCACATGCAGACACCATGATGAACACGTGTACACTGAGTGCTGAGTACTGAGCTCCACGCGGAGATGCCACTATGAACACGTGTACACTGAGATCCACATGCAGACACCATGATGAACACACGTACAGAGTACTGAGTACTGAGCTCCACGTGCAGACGCCATGATGAACACGCGTACACTGAGCTCCATGTGCCGACGCCATGATGAACACGCGTACACTGAGCTCCACGTGCAGACGCCATGATGAACACGCGTACACTGAGCTCCACGTGCCGACGCCATGATGAACACGCGTACACTGAGCTCCACGTGCAGACGCCATGATGAACACGCGTACACTGAGCTCCATGTGCCGACGCCATGATGAACACGCGTACACTGAGCTCCACGTGCCGACGCCATGATGAACACGCGTACACTGAGCTCCACGTGCCGACGCCATGATGAACACGTGTACACTGAGCTCCACGTGCAGACGCCATGATGAACACGCGTACACTGAGTGCTGAGTACTGAGCTCCACGCGGAGATGCCATGATGAACACGCGTACACTGAGCTCCATGTGCCGACGCCATGATGAACACGCGTACACTGAGCTCCACGTGCCGACGCCATGATGAACACGCGTACACTGAGCTCCACGTGCCGACGCCATGATGAACACGCGTACACTGAGCTCCACGTGCAGACGCCATGATGAACACGCGTACACTGAGCTCCACGTGCCGACGCCATGATGAACACGCGTACACTGAGCTCCACGTGCAGACGCCATGATGAACACGCGTACACTGAGCTCCACGTGCCGACACCATGATGAACACGCGTACACTGAGCTCCACGTGCCGACGCCATGATGAACACGCGTACACTGAGCTCCACGTGCCGACGCCATGATGAACACGCGTACACTGAGCTCCATGTGCCGACGCCATGATGAACACGCGTACACTGAGCTCCACGTGCAGACGCCATGAAACTTTCTCACAGAAACTCTACCCCATCCACATGTTCAGCCAGGGCACCGCGGCCTTTCCAACAGAGGGCACCGCTGACCAGGGGTGGGGGCAGCCTCTCCTCACGAGGCGCCTCACTCTCGTGTCTGACCCTGCTCTACTTCCTTCGGTAACTCCTGCTCCCATTCTTGGACGCTACGCACGTCTTTGCCTTGAATTCTTACCTCATACAGAGGCCAGGAAACTGGAATAAGAACAACCTGGGACCCCACCGCCCCACAGCAGCATCTTACTGGGTGCAGCGTATGGACGGCTGTGAAATGTGTCTGTTTCGAGCCCACTGTATCACTTCTGAGCACAGACACCCAGGCCGACGTCAGCTGTGGGGCGTGGCCACGCCGCCAGTAAGCTGGGGATCCCCGCCACCGACAGGGGGCAGAAACTGGGGAGTTCAGGCTGTGCTAGTGCTGTGCTGGGCTGGGACAAAGTGAGAAAAGCAAGGGCAACGCAGCGAGTTTCATCAAGCTAACTCTATCTGCCACAAAAGACAATCTTACTTCCATTTCAGAACTGTCTCCATTTAAAAATGCACTGTTCCGGCCGGCGCTGCAGCTCACTAGGCTAATCCTCTGCCTGCAGACCGGCACCCCGGGTTCTAGTCCCAGCTGGGGCACCGGATTCTGTCCCGGTTGCCCCTCTTCCTGTCCAGCTCTCTGCTGTGGCCCGGGAGGGCAGTGGAGGATGGCCCAGGTCCTTGGGCCCTGCACCTGCACGGGAGACCAGGAGGAAGCACCTGGCTCCTGGTTTCGGATCAGCGCAGCGCCGGCCGCAGCGGCCACTTGGGGGATGAACCAATGGAAAAGGAAGACCTTTCTCTCTCTCTCTCTCTAATTCTGCCTGTCAAAAAAAGAAAAAGGCACTGTTCCATGAATCCCAGCGCCTTGGCGCCACGGAAACCACCAAGAGGTTATGGTCATGGCTGTCAGTATCAGTTCTGCCTTTAAACTAACTCTCAGAGTCTATGAGGCCTGCTACCATAGGTCAGTCCCCCTTGTAAATACACACCAGTATGCTAAAGATCAAGCCAGCATGTTTCCAACGTGCCACTGTGTATCCAGGTCTGCACTACAACTTGGGGATGCCACCATGATGCAACTCCTGAGAGAGGCAGGCCTGGAGAGGGGTCCATGCACGCAGCCACAGCCACTGCAAAGCCCTGGAGAGCAGGGCCACGCCTGTCTCTGCAGCATTCCTGTCCCTCCGCCCTGACAGGCACACAAGGCAGCTACTGAATGCGGGGCAAGGACTGCCAGGATGGACGGCTGACTGCAGGGCGGGGACAGAGCTGTGTCCAAGGATGGAGGGCTCGGACAGCAGGGGCACTTCCGGTGAGGTAAATGGGACGTTTGAGAGGGACAGCTCTGACATGCAAAGATCATTCTGGGCAGTGGTGGGAAACAGGGTGAGAAGAGCTCGTGTGGGCTCACACTGCGTACTGACCGTGGCTAGGGAGCTGGGACAGAAGACACAGGCAATGGAAGACGCTAGGCTTTTATACAACAGAGGCAAAATCTCCACTTAAGGCCTGGAGGATACAGGAAGCGGTGGGAGAGCCTGCATCTCGGGGCAGAGGTGAGACACGGAGCCGTTTCTACTGAGGGCCAGTGCCAGGCACGGTGCCACCTGCTGACGCCCCAAGGAGCACCCTCTTCCTTAGACACACGGCACCCATGCCCACAGGAGCACCCTCTTCCTTAGACACACGGCACCCATGCCCACAACAAGGAGCACCCTCTTCCTTAGACACACGGCATCCATGCCCACAGGAGCACCCTCTTCCTTAGACACACAGCACCCATGCCCACAACATGGAGCACCCTCTTCCTTAGACACACGGCACCCATGCCCACAGGAGCACCCTCTTCCTTAGGCACACGGCACCCATGCCCACAACAAGGAGCACCCTCTTCCTTAGACACACGGCACCCATGCCCACAACAAGGAGCACCCTCTTCCTTAGACACACAGCACCCATGCCCACAACATGGAGCACCCTCTTCCTTAGACACACGGCACCCATGCCTACAACAAGGAGCACCCTCTTCCTTAGACACACGGCACCCATGCCCACAAGGAGCACCCTCTTCCTTAGACACACAGCACCCATGCCTACAACAAGGAGCACCCTCTTCCTTAGACACACGGCACCCATGCCCACAACAAGGAGCACCCTCTTCCTTAGACACACAGCACCCATGCCCACAACAAGGAGCACCCTCTTCCTTAGACACACAGCACCCATGCCCACAACAAGGAGCACCCTCTTCCTTAGACACACGGCACCCATGCCCACAGGAGCACCCTCTTCCTTAGACACACGGCACCCATGCCCACAACAAGGAGCACCCTCTTCCTTAGACACACGGCACCCATGCCCACAGGAGCACCCTCTTCCTTAGACACACAGCACCCATGCCCACAAGGGCACCCTCTTCCTTAGGCACACGGCACCCATGCCCACAGGAGCACCCTCTTCCTTAGGCACACGGCACCCATGCCCACAACAAGGAGCACCCTCTTCCTTAGACACACAGCACCCATGCCCACAACAAGGAGCACCCTCTTCCTTAGACACACAGCACCCATGCCCACAGGAGCACCCTCTTCCTTAGACACACAGCACCCATGCCCACAGGAGCACCCTCTTCCTTAGACACACGGCACCCATGCCCACAACAAGGAGCACCCCTTCCTTAGACACACAGCACCCATGCCCACAACAAGGAGCACCCTCTTCCTTAGACACACAGCACCCATGCCCACAGGAGCACCCTCTTCCTTAGACACACAGCACCCATGCCCACAGGAGCACCCTCTTCCTTAGGCACACAGCACCCATGCCCACAGGAGCACCGTCTTCCTTAGACACACGGCACCCATGCCCACAGGAGTACCCTCTTCCGTAGGCACACAGCACCCATGCCCACAAGGACAGACGGCTGCCTGTTCCGGAACTGCCCTGGCGCCAGTGTCTGAGCTGGTCACCGTGCCGTGTGTACGCAGGGTGAGGTCGTGCAGAGCCCCACTCCCTGAACTCCAGGCGGAAGGTTCTTTCCCTGTGTTTCAAGCCGGAGGGTCCTCAGGTTTGCCCTCTTGCTCGGTGCTTGTGAAAAATAACCTGAGTGGGGGCTCAAGAACGGGCTCACTGTGCTTCGTGCTGAACCACGGGCGAAAAATCGCGGCTGTGTCTGTCTGCAGACGAGCGTCAGACACCGGCCTTGGAGGCTGCTGAGTCCTCTGGGCCACGACCTCTCGCTCCGAGAAGTTCGCTGTGAGTTTGCCCGGGTAATCCATGGACAGACACACTCTTCAGGTGCGGCCAGGTATCTCCACACAGAAGACGGACACAAACGCAGATCTGATAGTGCCCCTTCCCATGGAGCTCGGTCCTTGCCTGCTTCACAAACAGGCCCCAGCACCGTGCCTGACCACGTGCAGCGTGCAGGGAGACTCTCCCTGTGGGAACCGGTGAGGCGTTCAGGGAGCATCCAGTGGAGAGAGGGTCGGGGTGCTGGCCCGATGGCAGAGAATCACCTGGTTCCAAATGGCGATGGAGGTAGGAAACCCAGGGCCAGAGGCCACCGAGTCTGAGAGAGGTCTCCCCCTCCTCCCTTTGGACCGCAACTTGACTCTGCTTGGGCTTCCTGGTCAGTGGTGGGGTGACCAGCCCTGACCTCACACGGCTTCCTTCCTGTGACAGACAGCTCCTGACCCTGGGAAGACGCCACTGGCAGGGGAAGGACCACCTGGACGCCCTTCTTCTCCCACATTAAGCTCCCGGCGAGGCAGGGGTGCAGACGGGCGCAGCTCCCCTGCCCCCACACCGGATCAAGCCCAGGCACTTCCTCATTTCTTTTGCTTGGAGAAAAGCCCTGCAAACAGCACGTTGCCTGAGAATGCAGACCCGACCTCCGCCTTCTGACGGCGTGAGCTTTGGCTTTCCTGCACAGCACTGGGTGAGCCGACCCCGAGAGGTGGGTGCACAGCACTGGGTGAGCCGACCCCGAGAGGTGGGTACACAGCACCGCGGTGAGCCGACCCCGAGAGGTGGGTGCACAGCACTGCGGTGAGCCGACCCCGAGAGGTGGGTGCACGGCACTGGGTGAGCCGACCCCGAGAGGTGGGTACACAGCACCGCGGTGAGCCGACCCCGAGAGGTGGGTGCACGGCACTGGGTGAGCCGACCCCGAGAGGTGGGTGCACGGCACTGGGTGAGCCGACCCCGAGAGGTGGGTGCACGGCACTGGGTGAGCCGACCCCGGGAGGTGGGTGCACGGCACTGGGTGAGCCGACCCCGGGAGGTGGGTGCACGGCACTGGGTGAGCCGACCCCGGGAGGTGGGTGCCCGGCACTGGGTGAGCCGACCCCGGGAGGTGGGTGCACGGCACTGGGTGAGCCGACCCCGGGAGGTGGGTGCACGGCACTGGGTGAGCCGACCCCGGGAGGTGGGTGCACGGCACTGGGTGAGCCGACCCCGGGAGGTGGGTGCACGGCACTGGGTGAGCCGACCCCGGGAGGTGGGTGCACGGCACTGGGTGAGCCGACCCCGGGAGGTGGGTGCACGGCACTGGGTGAGCCGACCCCGGGAGGTGGGTGCACGGCACTGGGTGAGCCGACCCCGGGAGGTGGTGCACGGCCTGGTGAGCCGACCCCGGGAGGTGGGTGCACGGCACTGGGTGAGCCGACCCCGAGAGGTGGGTACACGGCACCGCGGTGAGCCGACCCCGAGAGGTGGGAGCACGGCACTGGGTGAGCCGACCCCGAGAGGTGGGTGCACGGCACTGCGGTGAGCCGACCCCGAGAGGTGGGTGCACGGCACTGCAGTGAGCCGACCCCGAGAGGTGGGTACACAGCACCGCGGTGAGCCGACCCCGAGAGGTGGGTACACAGCACCGCGGTGAGCCGACCCCGAGAGGTGGGTGCACAGAGCGCTGGGGCCTCCCGCAGCGATGCCGATGCCACGGTGCAGTCAAAGGCCGCCCGTCCCGAAACTGCCACAGGGGAACGCCGTGCAGGACAGGCAGCGAGGCTCCAGGCATGCTGCCGCGTCCCTTCCTAATCTCTCCAATGGAAAGGAATCACTAAATATATAAACCTAATGAGGATTTTTAAAGACTCAAGGGATTCATGAAATCATGCCAAAATACCTAATATTTTACACTTTAAGAAAAGCATTCCAGGCGGTGAGAAAAGAAAAGTACAGGCTCCATGGTCACCAGGAAACTGTTTACAAAAAGCCATGATCTACATTTTATAATTCGCACAAATATATTGGAGAAGTACAGAAATCAGTGTTGAGCTGGTGAATCGTCAAATGGCCTCCGCGTGGCCGAGGTCTTCACCGGGTGAGAACGACTCCCCAGGCTGGGAGCCCCAGGCTAGAGGGCAGTGCAGTGACCCAGGTACCGGCTGAAAAGCCATGTGCCGTTTCTTTAAGAGCTTCTGCACTAAGGACAAGAGTGAGGGTCTCCACACAAGGCAGAGGAATACAAAGGATCGAGTCGCCAAGTTCGCCCTCCACACACTGCTCCGTGAACTGGTGTGAGAGGAGGCTGGGCCGCCCCCTCTGGGGCTGAGCGAAGCTACAGTGCGTGTTTGGGCAATGAAGGGAGCTCTCTGTGGGCATCTCTGAGCCAGGCACCGTAGGGAAACCAGCAGCGCACGACTGGAGCTGGCACTGCAGGCCGCGGGTGGGGGTGGGGGCCACAACACTGCACCCGTTCATCACACAACAGGGAGAAGTGCTCGTCCCAAGACTACAGGGCGTGCAGCGCCCTGGCTCCTTACACCTGCCTCACAGACCCGACCACAGACCCCTGCGCCCTCACCAGAGCAGGGACCTCCTCGCGCGGGCCCCAGCTGCTCCTCAGGGCTGTCACACACTGCGGCGCGCTGTCCCATAAGCCGCGAAGCGCCTTCAGACGCACGCTGCTGACAGCTGCTGCGTCCACAGTGGGGTTATTCCGTAGTGGAAATCATGTGCGTTTCCTAATTAGACAATAATTTCTCTTTACTTAAAGGCCCATGAAGAAATGAAAATTCATACAGGAAAAAAAATACCTTGCCGCCCAACAATCCCCACAGACGACCAGCTACAAGGCAAAACCAATCGATGCACCATGGATACCTACCATGTCTGATAACAGTCTACAACCACACTTTAAAATCCCTACATAAAAAAGTGTAAAACAGCCACTTAGACACCTTAACATCAGGGTGGGGGGGAAGTGTCTGAAGTGTGTGGAGGGCACTGGTAGCCCCGGGAGAGCTGCTCCTTGGGGCGCTCTGTTCTCAGCCTCACGCTCCAGGACGACTGTGAAGATGCCCAGGGCTCCCTGCTCAGGGAGCCTCCCCGGCTGAGTGGCACGGCCAAGGCTCTCGCTGGTCATGCTTCCAGACCCTGTCCGTCCCCACGGCAACTCCCTTCCATGCTGTCCTTGCCCCAGATCAGGTCCCACAAGAGAACAGGTCCTCTCAGGACGGAGTCAGGGCCGGCGCTGTGACTTGGCAGGTAAAGCCGCTGCCTGTAGTACCGGCATCCCATATGGGCGCGGGTTCAAGTCCCGGCTGCTCCACTTCTGATCCAGCTCTCACCCGGGGCCAGAGGGAATGACTTGTCATCCCAGAATTGAGAAAATAACCTGGCCAGGATCCTGCAGAAACCGAAGTGGCTGCAAGTCCACCTACAGAACGCACACACGTAAACAAAGCCCAGGGACGCCCCCCCCCACCCCCCCGAGACCACACAGGCTTCTGGGACGTCTCACATGGGCAAACATTAAGGTGTGTGCAACTGGCTCTGTGGCTGGGAAACGCCAGTGACTGAAGAGCGTGCGTCTCACGCCCACGTGCAAGAGGCCTGTGACCGAGTCCACTCCATGCACGTGCCGGGACTGGCAGCCCCTGCCGGACCCACGGCTCAGGAGCTTCCAGAGAGACCTGGCTTCCCGCTAAGGCACCTGAGCTCCAGACTCGCCGGGGTCCCTGCACAGGAAGGTCCCGGCAGCATCCTGGCGGCTGACTCGCCCTGGAACCTCGCACGAGATGGGCGCCCTCCAGGCACACGGCTCTCAGCCTGCCTGCAAGGAGCTCTCCCGCCTGGCTCTCCTGCACCTGCTGGTTTGTCTTCCCCTTAAAAAACCTCTGCCCCCAACAAGAGTCTGGGTGTGCTCCTCCCTGAGGGGACCCACAGCCTCCCAGAACTGAAAGACCCTGTGAAAACCACGTGGTAGCTACCACACAGGGCAGAGACTGAGGAGGGTACAGACCCGTTTTCTCCTCCCAAAGAGCCCGCCCGCCCTGCCTGCGGTCAGCAGTCAGCCCCTCAGTGGCCGGAGCTGCCGCTCTACTCCACGGGAACTTTCTGGGCTGTTCACGGGGACTCAACTGAAGATCAGAACGACTCACTGCGTGAGACAGATGGGCCTCCGGGGAGCACAGGCTGTGCTCATCCATGGTCACAGTCCTGTTGATGGGAACGCAAATCGTGTCTTCATGTTTCTCACCAATGCACAGAACTTACGCTGTGTAAAAAGCGGCTCGCGGCAGGGGAACCACCTCCAGCCGGGGTGAGGAGGAGCCTCCCTCCACGTTCAGGGCCTGGCAGGAGTCTCACCTCCTACACCGACTCACCAGCGAAGAACTAGCTTAGAAGCCCCTAGAAAGCAATGGCGATCCTGGGATGATTACGGTTTGACAGAGATGGAACGTCATCTGGGGGAACGAGTGTTTTCTCACAAGCCCTGAGTGACTTCCCAGATGGGATCAGAGTATAATGCCGTGCAGCGCTGGGGCACAGGGCCACCCACACCCATACCAGTGTGCACAAGAGTCCTGGCTGCTCCACTTCCAGTCCAGCTCCCACTAAGGCGCCTGGGAAGGCAGAGGAAGATGGCCCAAGGGCTTGGGTCCCTGTCACCAATGTGGCAGATGTAGATGGAGTTCCTGGTTCCTGGCTTAGGCCTGGCACAGACCTGGCTGTTGCAGCCATTCGGGGAGTGAACCAGAGGATGGAAGATTTATGTCTGTCTCCCTCTAACTCTCCCTCAAATCAACCAATCAATCAATCTTAAGAGAGTCAGCTTGTACTGATACTAGGAATTGCTTATTTGTGGGTAGGTAGCAGTAATGCCAAGGCAAAGCCACATAAGAAAATGGGCTTAGAGGGAAGCCCCAGACACTCCCTGCATGGTAAGAAGAGCCTAGGACGCCCTGGAAATGGACGGGAAGGAATGCGAAGTGCAAAGGAGAACGGGTCTTGCACAGATCTAAGCTCGGCAGCCCGCATGTGGCCCGAGAACACCTGTAGGGCAGGACGTGCTGTGCTCCACGTTCCATTTCTCCAAAGTTCCTTCTGCCCTCCCCGCCTTATTGCCAGCATTAAGCTCCTCAACCCAGCTGTCTCGAGAATTCAGCGAGGATAAAGAACTTCAGAAACAACAAGAAAAGCTTGACCCTCTTCCCTGACAGTGACACAGGGTAGACACTTCCGGCTCCATAAAGTTGTTCTGGTAAGCGGGAGCCTGGGAGTACACATGTCCATCTCCCTCTCAGAGAGCTCCTGACAGCTGAGTCCATCAAGTCTGGGTCTGCGTAAGAATGCACACGGTTTTCTAAAGGGCACGCGAACACATCTGTGTGACGTCTTCAGGGGTTGGGCTGGAAGCCTTCACCTCTACTGAGGCTGCTACCTGCCTGGCTCCCTTACTCCTACATCTTTTGTCCTGGCAAATCTACGTAAAGTAGCACCCGTGGTGTTCTCCCTGATTAACTACCTCCAAGGTTTTCTCACTGTATTAGTTGGGTGCTCTTCTCCCTCCCTGTCACGCATACGGGTACACGCACGATGCGTTCCTGTGCAAACTCTGAGTCCCTGTCACTTCGCTTCTCACACCCGAATTCGGATGCAGTGACTGGCACGGAGGCATGAGACGCTCTCATGCTACAGAAGAGAGGACTGATGTTTCAAGTTTTTTTTAAATGAAGTGCATGTACAAATGACCTCAGAGTTGTGTTTTCTCTAGCTTCTTCCTGAGTCAGCTCAGACCCTGGGTTAACTCGACTGGCCTTGCTAGCTCTCGCTGCACTTGTCTCGGGCACTACGGGGCTGGGAGCTGTAGCCACCCAGTGACATCCCCCCTTGGCCGCGGCCCCCCTACTCCTGGAGCTGAGGTCGGTCACCTCAGCTCTCCCGTCCCCGGGACACTACTCAAGCTTCCTCTTGGCTGCCAGCAGGTACCTAAACTCTCCCAGACGCACTGGGGAATAGTTCGGTGCAGCTCACTGTGGGTGGATGTGACTGGACGTCTCGCTGTGAAACCTGAGTCATGTTGGAGTAATGAAATAAAGAGGAATGAAGACGCAGAGCAAGCACAGAATCACCTCTTAATTAGCATCTTTAAAAAGCATTTTCATCTAAGAAAAAAGATGCAGCTTCACAACTCCCTGACTCAGAAGGAGAGCTGACATCAGCCCATTTTTAACGCTTTTAAAAAGCAAACTCCTCTGCTTGGTTTCCTAGAAAAGATAATTTTCCATCTGATTAAAAGTTTATTGTAGAAAATAAAAGTCAAAGGGAGAAAATCAGATCACAACTAAAAAGTCTTTATTAGGCGAGAG